ATGGGTACAACACGCAATAGTGGCGGCATTTCACCTGGCTATTTTATCAATCCTATGTGGTGAATACATAAATAAAACCATTCAATGTTTTATCTAATATACTGGCCAAATAAACCACTTGGGAAATATGGCAAATGCCAATCGAACAGCAAAAAGCCTAAAAATATTAGTATAGCATTTTAATATATATGGCAAAAGATTATAATCGAGAGTTTTATAGATAATAATTAAAAATAAACTTTTGCCATATATCAATACAACAAATAATTAAAATGTTCCTCTTCATAATAGAAGCAACTTGGATACATGTGAGTTTTATAAAGTCGGCTGATATCCCTAGGATAAAACCGATGAGCTAATAAATAGATACTCGTATATCTGAGCCCAACGGAACTTATTTTCTTCTGAGATCTGGCAATAAAATTATAACAATTCGGCTTGTTCTGGTGTCTGGGTTAAGAGTTTCATTATGTATCTAGCTTCCCGTAGGTGAAAGTTTTTTTTTTTTAATCTGTCTATTAGTTCAGAGCCTATCAATACAACAAATAATTAAAATTTTCCTCTTCATTATAGTAGCAACTTAGATATGTGTGACTTTTATAGAATATATTTTTTCAGAACAATTAATGCATAGTTTCATAAAAGTAAAACAAGTTTTTATGCTTTATTTCGATATTTTTCTTGGCAAAAGTTCTTCAATTTTTACTCAATTTATGACAGTGCATAAAAAAGTAGACCGCCATCTTGTGCTTTCCGCCATATTAGTTTGTTGAGTCAATTGAAAGTAATTCAAGACTGAATTGAAACTAAGTAATTAAAAAATACATGAAATTAAAAACTATGGGTTAGCTATATTAGCCAAATATTTGAATTGACAAATCCATCTACAATTTACTTAAAAAGTGTACCGTGCCATGACATCATTATCTATCATGGCCGCCAGCGTTACGTTGTCTATAAACATGGACACGAATTCGAGGCACGAATTTTTTAAATTCATTTTACAATAAATATTTATTGCCCGTTACATTACTTCATACAAACGGTCAAATATCCAATTACAACATCCTCAGTGTCCTCAGTTTAATAGGCTCGGACACCTATTTTTTTTTTAGAATATCCGTCATCGCGTCTTTTCTCTTCGGAACGAATTTTTAAAATCAAATAGTTTCGTTACCAATAGATGCCGATGGCGACCATTATGTAAACAGACACTCAAATCGTTCTTAATTATAATATTAGTATAGCAGTTGAAACCAATGAAATGTGACCGCATTTCATTGGTGAATATGGCAATGAAAATTAATGATGAACAAGCGAAAATGAGCCAGAGGTCTCGCCGACATCGGCACTCAGCATGCGTACCCCAGCAACCGAAGTTAAGCCCCTACGCGTGCACCTAATACTTAATTTCATACAATAATATTTAATACTTATTCTATCTGACTAAAGAATGACATATAAAATGATAATAAAAGAAGCATTTTACTTATTATTATTCTAATTTAATTTCACGCCTTTCAATTCAAAAATATGTGTAGCAAATTATCTTTTAATTATAGATACCACTAGCCGACAATGCCTCGTGTTGCTGTGACAAGTAAATTAATACTAAAGTATTCTGCTTCAACCGACATAACAACCGATAATGAAATATTAACTCATACCGCCGTCTGTTACGAACGTATGGAGTTTACAAATAATTACTACAAATTAACTTGCAATGGAAAAATTATCGTTATTTACAAGAAAATCTGGACTAACACTTAAATTGGCGTACACAAATTCAATTGCTATCCATAATTATATTTTTAATGTAAAGTCGAGATTCACGACCTTTAAATTGCTAAATGCTTGAAAAAAAAATAACAAATATAAACTTCGGCTTAGCGCTCTCATAAATACAATTTAAAATAACCATAATATTTTTTTCACCGATTGAAATTTTAATCCGGTTATTGTTAATGCCGATGTTTTTCGTTATTTATGTAGGTTTAATACTTTAAAAGTTGGTTTTACGTAATCGTTAAAGTTGTATTGCATACTGGAATTTATATGAGAAAAGTGAGTGTTGCTATTATAAATTTATTTCGAATTATTTAATAATATTATTTTGTTTCATTGGGCACATTCCATGGAACCGAATAAGGAGAATTGGTCGTGGCCCAACACGCAGGTCCAATGCGGATTGGTAGGTGTTAACGACAGCAGATGCAGCCGAAACCAACGGCTTACCATGCTTCCGAAGCCGCCCACCACCCAACCTATGACCAGCCTTTGCGAAAGTTGCTCAACTTCGCAGATCGAACGCGCTAACCATTACACCATCGAGTTCCTCAAATATTACATAAAACATTATAAATCGAATTGAATTTTGATAAACAATACTTATAACATTAAAGAATTAGACATTATATAAGATTTTAATTGAAGTGCTCGTTCAGTATTATCAGAGACACTTTTTATTGAATACACGGTGTTTATTAAAAATTCTAAATTACCAAATATGAAAGAATAAATCGAAACAAGACGATGAAAAATATCGTAATTCTTTCATTTTAGAAAGAACTCAATCCAATATCTGTTTTACTATCACTTAACCACCGTCTATTGGTGGCCCGTATCATTGAAACGTAAATATATAAACTCACTAAGTCGCAACAACTTTGAACTTCACACATATTTTAAATGACCGCAAATTATCGTGTCGTAACTTTATTTTAAGGTGATACCAACTTAAAATGATATTTCAAAAGGAATGTTCAATGTGTTCGTACTACAAATATTTTCCATTTCAATTCATAATTACATTTGCATCCGTTGATGACAATCACTGAATAAAAACCGTAACCTCAGTTAAACTTTAATTTAATATAAAATTAAATGGACATATTTATGTAATGAAGTAAATATGTAGATGTAGAAATGTTCAAATATCAAATGGTCATTGTCTATGTTTTATTTCAATTTGCGATACAGTTTGTATATAAATTACACTAAATAAGCAAACAAAAATATGGCATTAAAAAAAGCAAAATTCATCTGTTTTATTAATTAATTAAAGACAAACAACCCCCGTAACGTGACTATTTGCAATTGTTAACTTTAAATTATTAATTTGATTTTTGTAACGTTTAATCAATTTATTCATATTATCGAATATGATATTTTATTCAAATAATCAAACATAAATAACCTTGAGCTGTCGTTCGAATACAAGGTTTCCTTGGGATTAACCATTTTTTTTACCATTCATTTATGTTTTTGTAATTTATGTTTTTATATCATATATAAATATTGGATTCAGGTGTTGCAAACATTTTTTTTTGTTGTTTGTTTAAATCAGATTCACTTTTATTTAACATTGTGTATTTTTAGTATCAACTCTTGCTTCAGCTAACAATCTGCAAGACTGCACGCTACCGCCGGCGTGGCAATGATGGGTGATCTGGAAAATAAATCGAATGAAAACACATATAATTTATTAACTCATTCCTTTCATTTATTCCCGGTTATATTATTTTCTGTATTTATCATTTATGTAAAATAATTTCTTCAGTATATAACAATATATTTATGGAAATATGTTTGTAGTATTTTCAGTGCTTTATTTTTATATGATTATTTAAATATTTTCATTGCAGTCATTTCTATATTATTTAAATTTAAATTTGAATTTGAATACTTATTTAAATTTTAGTTTATTTTAAATTGATCAGTAATCACGTGTAATAAATAAAAATATAATTGTTATCTTGTATACTTTAATATATAAAATTTACTTTATTTTACATTTATTTGGCATCAAGAGAGTCATTTGCTTAACAAATTGTGTATGATTAAATGTTTTTTAAATTACAGACCAATATTCTGTAATATCTAAAAGTAAACATTATTTTTTTAATAAATAGACATGAGATGCTACATGATAAAACACGCATATATAAAAAACAAAAATTATAAAAATATATGTAATATATAAAAATTGAAAACTCAGTAAAGTTACTATCGAGAGCCGACGGCCGACGGACGCTACGGCACACTACGGATATACCACCCGCCGTTACGTACAGCTCGTTGTCTTCTACGAGACTACGAGACGGCTACGAAGAATTTGTTAGAGAAAAAAATTATCTAATAAAATCTTTTTACTATTTTAAATATTGATTAAATTTATTATATCATTAAGTTACTATTTGTGGGGATTATGTTGCATAGAGATATAATTTTGTCAATCTACATTTTCAGTTCTGTACGAAACTAAACAATAGATGTATAAGGAGCATTCGTTTTCATATATATTCTTGATTAGAAGTGTGTTGTTGTATGTTCAGATAAGCCTAAATTAAAATCAGTTTTTGTTTTGTTTTGAAAGGGATCACACGCTCTCTTATTAAAAATTATTGCAATAAAGCTTTTTCTTTATATTTTATATATATTTTGTTTTAAATTGTTATTATACAATTCACTAAAGCCTCTACACATATTTCACTTTTCTACCAATCGATGCACAGATCGAAATTACTTATTTAAATATTAATTCAATAAGAATTAACAGATTAAGTTTATCTATTTCCGGGAGATAAGTGAAAGGATTAAGTTTCCGTTTCTTTTTCTCGCAAAATACAACTTCCATGGAGCTCCATGACACTCGCTATGCTCGCCAGCACAAAACTCGCAAGGCAATTATTAAACACAAAACAGTAATCCTGTGAACAAATATGATTAGTACACGAATTAAGTTAAAATGGATATTATTGTGTTTTTGGTGTTTATTTGTTTTTTTTTTTGGTCGAAGGTTAAGTTTATTTTTATGTTTTTACCGTCATAAAAATGGTCTCGTTTTTTTTATTTGTTTTTATTGTGCATCGTTTTATATTAAAAATACAAATATTTTTTTATGTAAGTTTGTTGTTTTCCGCTCTTCGGCTCTATTACAATGAGCGAAACGCAACACACGACATTGTTAAAGAAGAATACGATCATACCACCATCACAGTTTAACCAACGCAATTGCATGGTATAAGATCTCGCGATGGTACCTGAATCCCTGAAAGGCATGACAAGTGAGACACCACTATATCACCATCTCGTTTCATTAATTACAATTGCTTCGCTTTAAAGAGCCACGATAAGGCTCTGTTTGTACCTGAAATGAGAGACATGGCAGGTAGAGGCATTAAAGGCGTGTACTCACCGAGGGATTGGGCACGCACCGCCGCGGGTCGGTAGTGCGGTACGTGGGGCTGTACCGCGCCGGAAAGCAGCCCGGCGGGGCCATCAGACCCCCGCCGGACTTCATCTTGTCCGGCGAGTACATCGCACATGACCCCCAAGGGTCGTCCTCCAACTTCAACACCTTGGAGGGTGAGTGGTACTGCCGGTCGAAAATTTTGGCGACTTTCTATCGTACTTCGGGGTTGAAAAGGCGACGCGTCGCCGCGACCGTTCCGACCGCCGGGTGATGACCGACTGAGCGCGGCGCGCGGTGACGTCACACGCCACGCCCTCCGGCGCCCCCCGACGCCTGCCGCCGCCCCCGCCGCCCCTCCAGCGCCTCCCATTTGCCCCTCGTCTCACGCATGTTTACGTCGCCGGCGGCCGCTCCACGAATTACTGAATTATTTAATTGGCCCATTCACTTCCCTTACCTGTTACCTTTTCACGCTTTCAATTCCAAAAAGGTTGACGGATGGCTCGTGACTCGATCGGCACTGCTAATTGTGCCCTAATCAATATGTGGAGGAACAAATTCACAAGTTCTGGGCAGAGTAGTGTTACACGCGGACCAATAATTATAATAAATTATGCTCACTTTACTTTGAAGTTTTATTTAGGTAATGTTGCGCTCTCATTTTTAAGTAAATTATGTTTCGACAGAAAAATAAATATCTGAAAGAGGCATTGGCAAATACTTTCAAAGTCACCAATCTGGAGTTGTTTTTTTTTTTTTAAGAAGTCAGAAATATAATAGAATTTCATAGAATATAGTTGAAGTTATTTTATAAGATAAAAAAAAAATCCAAAACCCTTATAAAATCGAAAATACCTTGATATTAATAAAACTAACCCAGTGAATACAAAGCTGACTCTTAAGCAAATAAAAACAAAATAAGTAATATAATTTGCATCAATTGAAAAATTTTCAACTCCAGCATCTTAATTGATATTTGGTATAATAGTAGACTAACACAATTATTTGTATGAACTTACTTAGTTTTATATTATTGCTAGATGTTTTCCCTCTCCTTCACCAGTGTATGATAATTTCTAAATCAGTCCTGTGGTTTCGGAACTTATTCAAATTATATAAACAATGAAATCTTTCCTCTTTTATGATAGTTATTTATTTATTTAAAAATCAACAGCTATAACTTAGTAAAGTCAATAAAAGGCGTAGTATAAAGGCATATGAGGCGGAGATGTGTCGCTTCTTATCGGTCTAAAACGTCAATAATAAGAAACAGGATAATTATAACTCGTACGCGTAGCATCCTCCAGTACGCGTAGCATGACAAACTCGAGAAACGCTTTGTCTACACTCATTTGTCAGTTTCTCGGGTCGAGAGTGAGATATAGTATGGGCGCACCCGAGAAAAGTGACATTTGAGTGTAGACAAAACAAGACAAGACATGAGTTCGTCATGCTACGCGTGCTGGTGTCATGTTAATTCATACGAGTAATGTGTATACCATTTAACCTTGCGCGTTCGACGGATTATCCACCCCGTGCATACATCCGTGGGACGCTTGACGGATTATTTGCACCGAACCTAATCTAATAACAGCTTTACATATCAAAAAATCTATAGGTACTTATATTAAAAGGTTTACATAAACATATCAAGCAATCTATAGGTACTTATATTAAAAAAAAATATTTTATCGTTCAAATTTATAGATGTGTTTGTATGTAGTGAAATAGTTGATCTCATTGGTCCCATACTTTAAAAAAAACTTAGATATTTTAATATCAATAACAACTCCAGTGATGGTACCTTAGTATCCAAAATATTATTTTTATTTTGGTGTTCATTGTGCTGTGAATCCTCGTTTAGAAAACTAACAAAAGCTGGATACAGCAATATAATAATAATAATAATAATCACTTTATTTATCACACAATCATTGATTGATAGGCAAACAATTTATGATTTATTATTTTGTGCGATCTGGAGCCTAAGCTAGGGCAACCCTGTAATTCAGGACCCGTGAATCAACGAGCGCTCATCTCAGTGCAGGGCAATACTAACACGGTTTAAGTAAAGTAAAGTATAAACATGGATGCTATGATGTGTGTGTTAGTGTGCACGTACGTGCGTGCGTGTGTGTGTGTGTGTGTGTGTGTGTGTGTGAGTGTGTGTGTGTGTGTGTGTGTGTGTGTGTGTGTGTGTGCGTGTGTGTGTGTGTGTGCGTGTGTGCGTGTGTGTGTTTGTGTGTGTGTGTGTGTGTGTGTGTGTGTGTGTGTGTGTATGTGTATGTGTGTGGTGCGTTACTATAGAAGTGCATGTATCAGAAGGAAAATGAAAGTGCAACTATCGAGGAGATATTAGTAATGATTCTGTGTCTGTTGTAATTAAGTGTGTTATGGATGTTTAATATTCTATTTATTTTGTTGTATAAATAAGGTGCAAGGAAACATAAATGTCTTCTAACAAAAGTAATACGTTAAGTTGCTACGACAAAGACTCTGTCGGTTCTACGTTTTCATGATATGGAGCTATTTCGGTCATAAGGAATTGTAGAGTGTTTGTACAGAATGGCGTGAAGGATAAACAGTTGGCGTATGCTGAGAACTGCACAATTACGATAAAGCATAGTAGTTGGGTACCGATATGGTTTTTTGACATTACTTTATACACGTTAATATGACATGCAACCGAAAAAATAATGCGAAAAATACCGACGCCCGACAACACATGTCACACACAGAGAAAATCTGCTCAACGAAAAGTTTTTGCGAATCATGGAATCCGAACGAGCGCCACCAATAACCACGCAAGTATACTCCTCGATCTCTAAACCCAGCTTATATAAATCTAAGTTAAACCGGTCAAAGCGTCTTGTCGATGTCTATACTTTTCTCGATGTTTATACTTATAAAGATTTGATTCCTTTTTGTTTTTCATTGAATGTCGGAGCCCAACAATTAGAACGATTTCTTATATTTTGAAGCGCACTATCCATAAATGAAACAATTTTTAAGCGGTTTCATCGCGCTTGTATTTAGTTTTGGTGGTTTTCGGACGCTTTACAGGTTCTAGGTTCACATAAGAGTAAGGTGTTGCTTGTCTTTTTAATTCAGAGTATAGCTACCTTCGAAAACCAATAATACTCGTACTACAGGACACATTCACAATACAAAATTTTTATATTTCATGGCAACGTTTAAATTTTATAAATGAAATTATTTTAAAAATACATTTGACTTATTTATTTACATCTGAATAATCTACCATCAATTCCGACTTTGGGAGTCTTGTCTCAGAAAAACTGGCGAAACGAACTCCGACAAGAAAAGTGAATTGCTCCCTTTGATTTATTTCGCCAGTTCTTCTCAGACACGACTCCCAGAGTTGAAAATGGTGGTAGATTACGGTAGCCCGGGGTAAATAAATAAGTCAAATGTATTTTAAAATAACTTGATTTAATTTAATAAATGTAAATGTTGCCATGAAATAAAAAAAAAATGTATAGTGAGTGTGTCCAATAGTTTTAGTTTTCGAAGATAGCTAGCTATACTGTAAACTAAAAAGACAACCTTAGGCTTATATGAATAGGGAACGTGAATAAGGAAATACAAACGCGATGAAAGCATTTAAAAGTTGTTTCATCTATTAGAATGATTTTAAACCCGCAACATAGGCCATAATTTACGATGGCAAAGTCATGGAAAAGCATTCGAGTTATTTTTTTTTGTCATGTATTCCTCAACTTTGCTAATGTTAAAATAATAATCGCATCTCAATGGCGTCTCGATTCATCGCCTTATGCCACTGTTCTATCAGCCTGAGGTTCTATGTTATTAGAGTTATATATTTACGTGGTCTTATACCAAGAACTGTACTGTACTAATAGCAGTAACGTTAACATTACCAGATTTAACACCCTGCTTTGGCACAATCGAGTTAAAATTAAAAATTAAATTGTATTCCAAGATATACTTTCACCCGCTTACACTTTTTATTACATTGTTTACAGAGTGTTGTATTCGTACAGAATCGATTTATTAAAATAAAACCTACCTGAAAAGTTGATAAAAAAAAGTTTTATAACGTTAAAGCTATACGGCGTGACAGCGCTGTACTCGAAGTCGAGTTTGAGACTGATTTTATTACATTATTTATTACAGTGACATTCACTACAACCATTACAAATGCAATGAGTGTAATCTATCGATCTACGTCACTCTATTACACAATCAAATTGGATAGTGGAAGTTTTGATTTCAAAATTGCTATTCAGATCGACAGACATAATTGGGCCATCAAAACGTTCGTATTCATAAACTATTCGCTATGGAAAAAGTACCGTGGCACACTATGTACTAGTTTATAAAAAGACCAACTGCTTTCCCGTGACTTCGCCTGCGTAGGTATATTATAGCCTACGTCACCCGCGTTACAACATGCGTACTGTAGGTGAATTTCCATGAAGGGATCACTATTTCTCAATGTTAACACGTTACTTCCAAAAAACAGCGGTTACACAGTTAGGATATTTACTTTTTTATATTATTAGTATAAGAAAAGATAAGTGGACCATAAAATACTCCACCGCTTTTAATTTTTAACCAATAAGCAAACAAACCCTCTCTCTTTAACGATGTCTTTATTGTGTTGAGTGCAGATTAACTACTGCTGGCCATAAAGCACACAAGCAGTATAATGATAGACTCGTAAGCTTTATGCTTGCTGCTACTTAAAAACCGACCAAGTCGAGAACTCGACTCGAAATAGTTTAGTTTATTTTTTTTTGTATTGTTTGTTATAGCGCCTACCGAAATGCATCATTTGTAAAAAAATATACACTCTAACTGTCACGAGATACAGCCTTATGACAGACAGGCAGACTGCGAAGTCTTAGTAATAGTGTTCCCGTTTACCGGTTGGGTGTGGAAGCCTAAAAAAGATGAATGTCAGTTAGTGGAATTGTAGAATGAATGCCAGCTTAGCTACCAAAGTATATTTACAGACAGATAAGTCTCAGCATGCATGGCACACACGTTAATCGATTTTTAGAAATACATCATAGTATAACATTGACCAAAAAGTTAAAATTACTTCAACCAAGGTTATTAGTATCAAATGTAATCAATTAGTAACAATTCAACGTAGAATAAAGAGTACATACAGTACTGTAATATACGTTCAATAAAACTAAAACCTTATTAGCTTTTGAAGTAGTTTTATTGAATTAAATAAAACTACTTTAAAACCTCTTAATGCCGTGACCTCACTGTGTTTGCTGCTGAATTTTTAAAAGAATATCGTTAAGTACTGTGCTCGACTGCGATACCGTTTAGCTAAGTTTAGGTATAAGATATGACATCTTAGCGAAATTA